GTGCTATATCTGAACCGTATGGCAAGTGAATTTTAGCTGCGTTCACTCTGATGCATGTCCTCAACACCGGCATTTGCACTTCCCTCCTCCGCCACCCCTACCCGCTTTTCCCAATCTCCGAAACAGCTCTGTACCGAGCTAAAGAACTGGTGGCGAATTCCGCCCACTTTGGTGCATGCCCCGCCTACCAACGACACATAAGCTTTCCTCCTCTGCAGGCCTCTAAAAGTTCTTCCCCAAACCCCGAAACGGCTGTGAACCGAGCTACAAGTTTGGTAGCGAACTACCCTTTTTGCTGCACGCCCCACTCATCAATAGCAGTTGACCATTCCTTTACCGACCTCTACTCTACCTTCTTCCGGTTTCCCGGCTTCTTGGAATCGAGTTATAAATTCGATAGCAAACTCTGCCCACCTTGCGCGCACGCCACGTCCATCCAAATTTAACCTACCTTCCTAGATTCTCGTTCTACTGAAGATTCTGAGAAAGAATATAAGGACTTGTAGGAATGTTGTCCATTCGAAAACACGTTCCACCTATTGTGAGTGGACCTCTGCTTAACTCATAAATGCTGAAGACACCTTTACCACTGCTTTCCTACACCAATTTTTTGCTTAGTAGGCCTTCTCTTCTCCAAGTATGATTTTTTCATGAGCACCAATTTCTTTTTTAGAGAACATCCCGCCCATGGCACGTGAGTTTCCTATTTCGATCTGTCTTATCGATGCACACCTTTGTTCTTTAGTCTCGAGGTTGTTTTGGATCACTGAAATTTTCGTTGTCAGTACCGCACATTTCAACTCACGCACGCCCGCTGTGGGCGAGGCTCCGCCTTAGCTGTGGGCGTTTTGCACACTTTCGATGAATGTGGGCCACAAAATCATATTTGAACCGGTCTATCCAGGCGGATCTTCAGGTAGTACTGAATCTCGTGACAGACAGCGTGGGAAGCCCGCAAATCGATACATTCAGGATCGTGGTGGTGTTCGAGTGCGACTTGGCCTACATATATAAGGAGTTGTAAGCAGCCAATGTTCCAGTCAGCGTTTTTATCCTCCCAGACGCAAGTGATACCAATTACTTGACGCCGGATGGGTTGAAAGCTTGGTTGCTCAGGCTAGGCGTTCCGGGTTAAGAATATTGACCATGAGGTAGAAAAAAACAAGCGCCAACTTGCCACTTGCCCATCACTTGTGTTCAACCCGGGTCATTATGAGACAGAACTAGTATGAAAACGCACATCTGCAACAATCCGTGCAAATAGGTTAGAAATGGTAGCACGACTACAAAGGAATGCAGAGCCTTGCACTTTTGAATGGTGTTGCAGATGGCTGCTCCGTCCGAGTTTCTAAGAAACGCCCATCTGCTCTTCTAATGCCTAAATTTTTCCACGGCAGTGAACTTCTTAAAGGTCTTATGCTTTCAAAGAAATGTAAAGATTTTTTCTCGCAGATATTTATTTTTGCCCGAGTTCATGCTTCATCGCGAGGATCGCCAGGAAACCGATTCATTAACCCTTTGACGACCGTGTGGCCCGCCGGTGGGCCACACTTTCACTTAGAGGCGACTCGTTTTTCGTCATTTATTTGGCATTTTTGAGTGTTTCAAAGCTGCCTGTATACATTATCGGAAGCGCAAAACAATATGCTCATTACTAATAATGAAATTGTTTGAGTGTTAATGGATATTGACGAAAAAATTTAAAAAGAAGTGAAGCAATGCACGCACAACGGTCGTCAAAGGTATAAACCCAGACGACGGCGTGGCGCGCATGCGCGTCACACTTTCACACGAATGGGGCCAGTTATTTAGACGCATTTCTTACGTTCAAAACTTTGTCTGCATTATCGGATAAACAGATTTATTACTAGCGAGGGAATTATTGAAAGGGAATGATGGTGGTGGAAAAATATTCGAAAAAAAGGCGTCGTCAATGTGTTGAATAAAACCGATTCAATAATTGCAATTGCGTACCGTTGAGAGAAGCTCGTTTAGCGCGATGAGCGTGTCTATCAGGAAACGGTTGAATAATGTGAATACCATCGTTATCAATCAATGTACCTCTCTGAAAATGAATGTTTACTGAAAATTTCAAAGGCCTCTGTAAACAACACTGGCTCATAACGCTTTGTAATCAAAGCAAGGTATGATCCGTATCTAGGTCAATGAGATGCCTGTGCATCCGCCCTACATGCTGCGGCCTCTGGCTTTGTTGTCTTCCCTGGCTGTTATTGCAGTTCTCCTAGCATTTTGCATGTTCAGGCGAATTTCAGTGTTTACCATCGTCCTAGTTTTTTCCAGATTTCGAAAGTGCCCCATCAGGAAATGGAACAAATTACAGTACTTTGTTTTTGAAAACCGCTCTCTTGAATGCTTAGTTTCCGCAGCTGTCCTTAGATGCTGGTTTTTTTCCCTGTCAGAGGAATTTTGTTTTTCTTGATGCAGGATCACACTGTATTATCGTGCGCGCATTGTGTAAGGACAAATGAATGAAAAAATAATTAAATGCCCTTTAGGATGGTACTAAGAGGTTTTTGTCAAACCCAACTCAAAATTGTGAAAAACGATATTGGACCGAAGAATACCGCGGTTCGCGCGACAGCAGTAAACTCATTATCATCGAAGCAACTTTTTGAAGAGGTAATTGAAAGGTTCTAGAGGCATATAGTTTTCTGTGAGGCACAATAAATCTGCTTCTTCCATCCTTATTTGGTCGAGAAGCTTCCACTTCCTTTTATAAAGAAGAGGGCTGTTCTTCAGCCCTTGGCAACACTTCGGAGGCTAACCTCCACAAATGTTCCTGATGAAGTGATTAAAGTGACTTTTCTTTTTTGACACTTCTGACAAGTGACACTTGTGACACTTTTCAGGTGCCCCAAAGGTTCCGATGTTGATTTCCCAGGACCGTGTAACAGGGATGTCGAGAATTTTGTGACCACCACTAACATTGGGCGTATTGTTGAAGGCAGCGAGTACAATGACGGGAGGCGAGTCGTATAACTTCGTTTAATGTGGAAAATAATGAAAAAATCAAATCTTAGCTGAACAAGAGACAACATGTAAGCTAGTATAGTGTGAGCGTGTGAGCTTCTGGAGCGTGAGACTTGACAGTCACGAAGGTCGGTAGCTACGAAAACAAGTAAACCATACCCCGTCAGCATGATAGCGTGGTCCCAATCACGAATTCCTAAATTACGCTGGAATCGGCAAAAACGATCGAGGTACATTCTGTGCATTGCCATGGTTGTGAGCACTTCCAGCAATCGAACTCTGAAAAGAAGTATAGCATTGTCATAGCCCGACCTCCAGGGAATCCTCATTAATAATCACTATTTACACACCGGCTGGTTTGTAAGCACTTCATATCGAATCACTCTAAACGTCAGTGGAGGTGATGCTGACGGTTGATAGTACATAATTTGGATGTTATTCAATAAGGTCAACATGTAAGTCTTGAAGTTTAGTATGTGCTTGACCGCCATACTTGCTGCTGAAGTGCCTCCATAGTGTCTCGTCGACAAAAACAGCCAGCTCAACCTGCAATAAGTGCGACTTCCACAAGGTAACAATACTTAAGAGTACAAGGTAACAATAGACCTTCTCAAGACGAAACGAGGTAAAGGCAAGGGAAATTGATGTGCTAATCCCACTTGAATACGTGCGAATCGGACCACAATTAGAGAAAACAGCGAAGGAATTTGTCGAAAACACAGAAAATGCGACCCCTTTGATCTACGCTGCGGAGAAGTCTGAGAGGCAGACAGCGAGATAAGAGATAATGTGGGTCGCAGAGAGGGAAAAGAAGCCCGAATGGAGAGAGCATAGCTGAATATTATGGCACAGGTAAGAAATCGAATGATGGGCGGACATTGATGCTTCTGGGCGTAGGATGATCCAGGAGTCAAGCGCCTAGCGTCTTGGAGGCGAACTTAGAGACGCGAAAATGGCGCGAACACTGCACTGCTGAGCCTACATGGCGTTTCTACTCACAATGGGGGGGGGGTTATTGAGTGGAGCCTTATCTTTGTGTAAATAATGAAAGGCTTTCTTTAAGCAGGCTACATTACCAAATAACTTACCACAAGATCGCTCATCTGCTGCAAACGCTGCCCTGTGACAAAAACGTCTTCAAAAATTGCAGAATCATATTCCACTAGCTGATCTTCTGTGACAATGTTATCCAGGCCGCAGAAATCTGCACCTTTAGAAGCGATTTCTCGTTTGAATACGACATGAACTCCGTTCTCTGAAAGCATTGTACTGCAGTAATCATGCATTTCATAATTGAATTCAGACGATAGTGTGGCGCGCATGCGCGTCACACCTTCGCACGAATGGGACCAGTTATTTACACGCATTTTTTACGTTCAAAACTTTGTCTACATTATCGGATCCAGCA